GAGATTGAAGATAGCAATTGTGTATTTTCTTTTATGATTGCCCTTAGTACTGTCTAACCTACAAATTGTCTTGCAGACCACGGAGAGTGTGCACATTTATAATGTGACCCTGGTTGACAATGGAATGGCCATTTTTCCTATGATTTACACGCCAGCTGCTGTCTCACACAAAATTTCCAGTAAAAAAGTAAAAATTAAGGTAATAAATGAATATAGCCACACTATGAAGAAAGCAACTCGGAGAAGGATAAAATTATTGAAGGACTAATAAGAGTGATCGCTATCTAGTCCACGCCTCCCTGCCTTGGCTTCAGTACCCTCTGCCTAAAGATTCTTCATCCGTATCTCTCCTCCCCCTTCCCTCACCTCTTCTGGCTTATCACCTGCTAATCTTGCAACAGTTAGTTAAATTTTCACTCCCTCTATGAAGCTTTTCCTGAACCAGCATAGGTCGTAATGACACTCCTGCTTTTTGTCCTACCATTTCCATCACAGAAACATAACATGTCATTACATGTCGTTATTTACGTGTCTGTCTTCCCCTTCCCACTTCGTGTGCCATTCTAGCTGGGGCAGCAGTCACTTCTTTTCCAACTTTGTTAAACAAATGATCTGCTTCTCTAGTTTATAGTTTGTGTTTTACTACAGTAGAATTCAGTATTTTCCGTTATTATGTTGTCTTTTAGGAAGAGCTGTTATTAATGCTATATTACTTGGCTTATTTTTAGAGCTCATTAATTGTTGGAAGTAGCCCCGAATTTAATTGCTCTGATGTCCTGACTGATGATGATCCCAATATTGAACTCACTGCTGCCCATCGGAGTCCTAGACCTCCAACAGGTGAAAAATTTCGAACTTTCATGTTGGTGTTCATATGAATAGATACTCGATTTCCATTAACTTTTTTTTTTTTTGTAAAAGGTGGTAGAAGTGGGATTTGCTGGCCCACCTTTGCTTCAGCTCATAACATGGCACCCCGAAAGCCTCATGCAGGGATCATGAGTTATAACGCCATTGGTGGCCTTTTGGATGTCTCAGGCAAGTTTAAACAAAGTCTTTTATAAATCTACTCAATTAAGTTCTATAAATAATATGTAGAGTGTAAC